CCCCCTGTAATTTTCCTTTTTAGGGTCAAAAACCCAATTTTGACAACTTTCGCCCCGGATATGGCGCATCAGACAAAAAATTTCTGAAGTATCACATAAAAATACATAAGAAACAAGTAATTTAAATTTGTTCAGAAGCGGGTACATTTTTCGGTGCTACCTCACTACCTATAGAGGATAAGCCTCGGTTTATTCCCATTTCGCCCCTTTCCATTTCGCCCCTTCCCATTTTGCCCCTCATTTATTCCCATTTCGCCCCTTCCCAATTGGCCCTTTTCCCATTTCGCCCCTTTCCCATTTTGCCCCTTTGCCATTTCACCCCTTCCCCGTGTTGCCCCCTCCTCATATCGCCCCTTTCCCTTATCGCCCCTTCCTATTTCGCCCCTTCCCATGTCGCCCCTTCTCCATTCCGCCCCTTCCCATTTTACCCCTTTCCCATTTCGCCCCTTCCCATTTTGCCCCTCATTCAGTCCCATTTTGCCCCTTTCCCATTTTGCCCCTTCCCATTTCGCCCCTCATTTATTCCCATTTCGCCCCTTCCCAATTGGCCCCTTCTCATTTCCCAAATGGGAATAAATGAGGGGCGAAATGGGAAGGGGCGAAATGGGAATGAACGAGGGGCGAAATGGGAAAGGGGCCAATTTGGAAGGGGCGAAATGGGAATAAATGAGGGGCAAAATGGGAAGGGGCCAATTGGGAAGGGGCGAGATGGGAAGGGGCGAAGGGGAAATGAGGGGCGAAATGGGAAGGGGGGATAATGGGACGGGGGCGAAATTGAAGAGGGGCGAAATGGGAAAGGGGCAATTTGGGAAAGGGGCAAAATGGGAAGGGGTGAAATGGGTAGGGGCGAAATGGGAAGGGGCCAAATGGGAATAAATGAGGGGCGAAATGGGAAGGGGCAAAGTGGGAAGGGGCGAAATGGGAAGACACCATAAGCCTCGGTTATTAAAATTAATATTCACCAAAATAAGTAAGCACTCAAATAATCTGTAATTAATGTTTTATCATTTGATCAAGTTAATCATTTTTTATGTCAACACCAGAAGTGGTTGTCATTCAGCATTTGGCATCTGTAAAAAATGGCAGGTGGTGACATTTTGCATGATTATGCCTTGTTTAAGGGAATTGTATTCCACCAAATTTAATTTTAGGTAACTGTGAATTTATCTCTTTATTTAACTGTGATGATGCAAGATGAATACTAATAAAAAATGAACTATTAAAAGATTATGCACTAATTGCATATATAGGATTAAGGAGAAAATCCTCCAAGAAATGTGTTTAAATTCACTGGCATGTAGCGGCCCTGATATCGATAAATTCTACACGCAATATAACCCGAGACTACATGCTTGGTTAAAACTTTACACGAAAAAGCTTCGATATCCGGGCATTTACTCTTACACTGAACTGAAAATAGCATCGTCTAAACGTGTATGTGTTGGCTTCCGGGTAAGTTTATCAACATTTATACTCAATTGAAAGAGCAGTCGTGCTTATATCGTGTACCAGTTTGATTTATTTATAATGTGTGTGTATTTATAACATGATAGCCTAGTAATACCGTGTCGTTAGAACAACTGCTAGATATCGAACTGATGACCTGAAATTACATTATTCGACTGATCGCGCATCTGATATTAAATGATTAATTTGCATTGAATCTGATATTAACTTGCAACCCAATACCATGACTTTACATTTGAATGATAACACGGCCTCATATTCTAATCCATTATACGTCCATTGCAGGCCAAAAATGTTTCAATGTGGATATTGTAATGCACACGAGAATAAATTCGATTTCCTGTACACTTTCCCAAACCTGTGGAATAGACAAGATGCGAGTAGAAATTATCTTGATTTACGTCACCAAATATTCAAAATTCATTTTTTGAAAAAATTCGAAACCATTGAATATCACTTTTTAAGACGTAATATTCGATAGTTTAAAAGTGATATTCGATGGTTTGTAAATCGTTTGCTGAAATATGATATCTTGGTCCACATATCAAATATATCATCATGTGATATTCGATCTATATCATTGCAACCATGGGATATAGAGGATATCCTATGATTTATGAGAGATATGATTTTTATCCATGAATGCATATGATATCTGCACGAGCGAGCGTAGCGAGAGAGTGCAGATATCAATATCCATGAGTGGATTAAAATCATATCACGAGTAAATCATGGGATGTTCTTTTTATTCCATAGTTAAAGTCATCGTCAGAATCGTCGGAAATTAAGTGATTTAAATCGAATTTTCCAAACGATCCGGCGATGTTGACACTTGGCCTCGTTTTGAGTCTGAAGTAGAAAAAATCCATAAACCATCGCATACGACGCCGAATGTCATGACTAAAAAACCGTATGCTATGGTTAAGTGAAAATATGTCAAAAATATCATATTTTACCACTGATTACAAAAATACCGTTTTTATTTTCACATGTTATCCTATGAATATTATGCTAACTATGGAATAAATAAGGGTTATGTACTAGGAGGTTTTGGATACAGGGTTTATCCCAAGGGAAATATGTGTATCTCATGAGGGACCGCAGGGACCGAGGGAGATACACATATTTCCCGCGGGATAAACACTGTATCCAAAATCGACCGTACATAACTGGTGTATCTCATACTTGAGTGGGCTTGGGGTAGATATAACCTTTACCACCTTTTTCAAATGACAAGATAGGCCTATACTGTAAAAGCACAATTCATATTTAACATTTTCATAATATTCCTTCAGTTCAATAAAATAGAATTGTAACATTTAAACTTTTTGAAAATTTTTAAACTTCTGAAATTTAAATTTTTCAAGTTTTTAAACTTTTGAAAAAATTCCCGGGAGTGGGATGGATATATTATATCTGCCCGCATTTGGCCTAGAGCGGGACATATACAATATATCCTGCCCGCTCCTCAGATATAATATATATCCCCGGGTGATATCTACCCCAAACCCACTAAAGTATGAAATACATAAGGGTTATGCACTGGGATGTTTTGAATACAGGGAATATCCGAGGGATATACAATACATTTTCCCGAGGGACCGAATGGACCAAGGGAAGATGTATTGTAAATCCTAAAAAAAATCCAAATTTTTTTTTCAAATTTTTTTCCCACATTTTTTTCAAATTTTTTCACCTTTTTTTGGCATAATTTTTTTTTCAGAATATTTTTAAAACTTTTTTTTCAAATTTTTTTTCAAATTTTTTTCCCGAATTTATTTTTAACATTTTTTTGAGCGGGACATACGATTTATATGTCGCGGAGCTCCGTCGGAGCGGGACATACGAAAAATATTTGCCGGATATGGAATATATTCCCGGTTGATATGCCCCTGAAACCTCATCAGGTATGGAATACATATAGGTTATTTACTGGGAGGGATTGAATATGGGTTTTATTCCGAGGGACAATATGATATTGACTGAAGGGTAATATAATATTGACCGAGAGCGCAGCGACCGAGTGTCAATATCATATTGCCCAAGGTCAATATCATACTTTCCGAGGAATAAAACCCATATTGAATCCTGACCAGAAATAACCTATTTATTCCATAATACATCCCTCTAGAATGTTACATTTGGATAATGCAAACGTTATATTAATAAATGCACATTGTTTGAAAAATAAAATAAATAAATGAAATAAACCGGGAAACTAAAAAATAGGTCAATACGCTCCAATACGATTTTTCACGGGGACAATGCGATTTTTTCATGTAATACGCTCCAATACGATTTTTTCCCGGGGACAATACGATTTTTTCATGTAATACGATTCAATACGATTTTAATTCCTTCATATTTCCCTGGAAAAACAGTAGTATTATGGAATAAAATATATTTTCCCTCGGGACCTGCGGCCCTCGGACAGATATATTATATTTGCCTCGGGGTAATCCCAATATCCTGAACCTCATATAGGATAATCTCTATATCTACCTGATGGACCATAGGGACCGAAGGTAGACGTGCATATCTCACGAGGGATAAACCCCATATCCAAACCGACCGCGCATATCTGCTTTATCATATACCAAGTAGTTTTCTAAAAAATAAATCTTATTTCCTTTTTTAAATTTTTAAAATTTTTCATTTTTATTCTCCACTCTACTTGTCAAAGAATAATAGACGATAAATATATGTATATAGTTTAGCATGATATGTACTTCTTTCTGTAACTGGAATACGATTCTAATATAAAGCAACACAGCATACGTATTCCCGGGGAACCATAAATATTTTGTGTAGGGTGTGGACATTTTTCTTTTCATTTCTCTAAAATCAGATTATTTTCATAAAATCCATACAAAGTTGGGCCTAAGCCTCTATTTTCGTATTCTGCATGTTAAGATATTTATAATGTAAAACTTAAAGAGATAAATTCAATGTCTTCAGTTGAGAATAAGTATAAGGTAAATGTGTGAATTCTGCTTTTTGTTGCACTATTTTTATAATAAACAAGGTTCGATACGCAACACTGAATAGACTGCAGTCATAGCTTAGTTGTAAAGAAAACAAAAGAAGTTGGGACGTGGTCATGCTTGATTATGTTTCTTTTATATATCACCGTTTGCATTCGTTGAAATCGGCCTGCATTGATTTCAAGAGGTGGTCGGTGTACAAGGTCATATGTTTGAGTTATTGGTTTAATGATAAATGTGACCCTTGAATGCGTTATGCTTTATGTATGCGTGAAACAAATACTCCAATGGCCTAATCTCAATTTGCCTACAAACAATATAACATTGAAATAATGGTCATCTGCATATTAACTTCCGCACCACACGTCTAACTTCGACACAATTCAGTAAAGTATCCAGTATCGCTATAATCGCTACATGCCAGTGAAATTGAGAAAATAGAGAAAGTTTTACATACCACATATTGATAAAAATTGGGTACGGCTATTAGTATAAGCTAAAGTGCTTTAAAGACTCTTTGACAAGGTTCAGTACAGCAGTATGAGTTTTATTCACTGAAGATGAAATTTCCAACAAAACATGTTAAATGTGTAAGTCATAATTTTTAATTCAAAACATTTAAAATACAAAATACACAGGATATCATTCAGTAAATACAAAAAATGCCCACTTGTATTTGAAGCCTTATCAAATTTGGATTTCTCAGGTACTTTGTGTATTTTATATTATATGTATTTTATACTTGAATTGTTATGACTTTTTAATTGATAGTCTTTCTTTAATTTTCTCCATATTTTCAAATGCCTTCTTCATAATATCTTCCTTGCCTTTGAAACCTGGGAAATATCTTATGATATGATCACTCAGTTCATCTTGGGGTATGTCACTAGTCTCCATGATGTGTTCTTCATTCTCAACCATGATTTCATAGTTTTTAATCTTGATTCGTCTTTCTCCATCTAAACGTGTTAGGAACACGATGTAGTGAAAATGGTGAATTTCCTCCATTGGAGTTCCAAGGTAGATTCTCAATGCATGGTCGTAATAAAATTCGGCAAAATCAGTTGGCTGGATGTCGAACCAATAAGAAAGTCGCCAGTCATTGGTTGATTCCCATTTTTTCGGCTTCTTATGGTAGCGTACATAAGTTCCTCCTTCTGTTCTGACATATTTGAAGATTTCATTTGAACCTTGGTAGATTGTTTCATTTAGGCTGTCTTGGTCTTTTGTCGGGTTCTTGATGATAATGGCCTCACGCATCGCCAGTCCAAGCCCACAGTCGACAACATGTAGGCTTCCTTTTATCGTGAGATCACGGACTATTACAATTGTATGATCAAGATTTTTCTTCAAGTATTGTTCAATTGAGACTACACTTGATAAAACAAGATATACATCATATCCTAGTCCTTTCAGTAGTGCCCACATAAATGTATTCATTGTGTGGCACATACCGCCCGTTTTTGCAAAAATGTCCGTTTTAATTTCACTCCATTTTGGAACTGTCCGAGACTCGACATCTTCACTCATAAGCGTTATTGTCTGAAAAGGTATAATCTGCTGGTATTTGATCATTAAATGATTCAGAAATTCAACCCTGTTATTCCCTAGTTGTTCATTCCAGTTGTGAATCTGTAGAATGTCAGTTAGGAAATATTCAACTTCATCCTTATTAAGCGTAGGTGCTTCCATTTTGATCAGATCCAAATTAATTCTGCTGATTTCTTGTATGATTTTGTGTGAGTTTTAGCTGACTTCAGCTATTTGCTGGCAATCATATTCTATTTATATCGATTATCAAACATTGATGTAGGTCAGGTGATACTTGTATCCAATTTAGTTATTTGTAAGTAACAAAGACACATTGTGAGAATTAACAGAATGTTAAAATTTTACATGTGTATACATTATCAGTCTTGTTCACTGTTCAGTGTAGTTGACTTAACCTTTTCAACCCCAGTATACAGGTATACAGTAAAACTTACAAAGTGGAACAACTCTTTAAGTAGAATGTAAGGGGAATGGTCTTTGCATAAACCAATCTGTTCAAGTACTGAAGGTATTGAACATCAGAGGTCAAGTATATGAATCACATAGAGAATTACATAGAGAAAATTTAATACAGAGGTTGAATAAGCTGCCAACATGATTTATATTTTATAGCTTTAACCAATATATAGATGTCAGTATTTGTTTTGATAAGTACACCCCCTCCATAAGTTTAGGAACCAGAAGAAGCAGGGGCATGGCCAGCTTTCAGTCAAGGGGGTGTGATTGCCAATTTTTTTTTTGGTTTTCAGTCAGGGGGTGCGCTTGTAGCATAAACAAGCCAAAAAATTAAGATTTATCTTGAATTTTACAAAAATTGATGCAACTTCCTTCAAAATTGAGCTATAAGCTTCAAATAACAAGCATTTTAAAGCTATTTTCTTCTTCAATCTCATCAACTATATCTATCATATTCTCGCCCCCCCCCTGTCTACGCTTACGAGTAGTCACCATTAGTTAGGATGTTAAAGTCTGTTTATTGTAGAATGTTAATTTTGTTCTCAAGTCACAAAAGGCATCCCATTTAGTTTCAGGGACAGATCTGGAAATCAAGAGGGAGGGGGCTCAAAATGGTCGCGCTTGCTTTGAAAAATATGTTTGGCCCCATGAAAATTTAGGCCCAATTTCATATAAATATGTCCAAAATTAAAAAGTAATGCATATTAATGCCAGTTTGGTACCTTTATTACCAAGAGTTTTAAGATTTTTCTGGGTCCACCAACGCCCCCCCCCCCCCCCAGATCCACCAGAAATCTGATGAATGTTAAGTCCCAAACAGGAATGAATGAGTTGTCTAAAGGGGACATGTTGTTGCCAAATTATTGAGGTGGGGTGTACTTCTTATTAGAGAAGAAAATACTGACATCTATAATCTGTTTAGCTTGAAATTAATCAAGAGGAGCATATAATAGCACTCAGATTACTGATCTGGACACCCTATACTGATCTTTTACTTAGATGTTTTGTATCATCTTTCATTTTGGATTATAAATGAGAAAAACTGACTGAAAAAATACTGACTCAAAACTCTAAATCAATGCTTCAAATTTATTATTTTCAGGGACCATTTGGAAGCACATTAAACTTCTGGGATTTCATCAAAGCTTTGAGATGGTTAGAGCCAACACTAGCTCCCTCTATTGAGATGTTCTCTCCAGCAGACGACAGTGGTCACCAAGGTGAAGGTCAAGGAGAACTCTGGGTAAAACAGAGTCTCATTCAACACCAGTTGTCTTATCAGTTGTACATTTTGGTAAATAGTGGAGGACATATAGTGGATCATTACGAAGGTAAGAAAATAGAACTGATATATTTATCTGGGGGACATTTCTGTAAAATTCTTAGCCAAAAAATCGTCATTAGTGAAAATTTTGTCGTAAATGTTGATATTATGACATCATAATTGGAGAACTGAAAGACTTATGAATTCATAAATAAGAAATGACAGAAATATATCCCAACCATCTAATTCAGGGGAGAAAATAGGTATAGGTAATTTTTGGTATTGCCTCTGACTTGTGTATACATGTATACACAAATGGCCTCAAGTAATGGGCAACGAGACTAACTTATAATCCATGATTCAAATATGCCACCACCAAAAGTGCATTTTACATGTTAATGCCTTGTTTTCAGTTGTATAATATCAAGTTAAAACTAATGCAGAATCCAAAAATCAAATGAAAAAATTAGGCCCATTTTTTGATAATTTGGCCTAAAAGGTCCAAAAAGGCCAAGTAATGCCCAAAGAGGCCCACTAATTGAGGCCATACAAAATTTTGGCCCCAATTTTTTTTTCTGTTGTCACTCAAAGGGGGGGGGGGGGCATGGCTGAAATCCTGTCTACTGGTCATTGGCAGATACCTTTGGACTAGATTAGTTTTTTTTCATTGGGTAATAGGAAAATTATATTTAAGAAAAATTGATTCATGTTAAGGTATGTCCCCATACCCTCATATAACCTCAATACGGTTCAGTCTAACTCTCAGAAGTAGGATAAAATGATAATGCACTGTTTTGGTTGATATAAAATATACAGTAAAACCTGTATGTAGGAACACCTCATTAATCTGAGCACCTCTCAATGTGAACACATTTTTTAGTCCCAAATTCATTTTCTCCCATTGACTCACATGTTAAGAAACCGTGAAATGTGAACACCTGCAAATCTAACACTTTTGGCCAGGACCATTGGTGTACGAATAAGACAGGTTTTACTGTATTTGTTTACAACAGAAGCCATGATACACTATCACTTGACTGACATACTCATTCACGACAGATAGCTGCTATCTATGTCAAGCATAAACTGAGACAATCCAGTGTGATATCAATATTACAGGAAAATGTGTGAAGTGGAATACTTCTCAGGCCCGTAGCCAGGATTTGCCAAGGGGGGTTCAGTTTTCAAAAATTTTCAGGGGGGGGTTCACATTTGACAATTTTGGCCCAAATATGGCTAAAAGTGCTCAAAATGGTGAAAAACCGCATGATTTTGAAAGAATTTTTGGCCAGGGGGGGGGTTGCCTGAATCCTCCTAAATCATACAGTTTTTGGGCCAGGTTGCTTACCTAATATGCTTTAATATGTATGTCAAATCATAAATCATTATACAGTTTTTGGACCAAATGATTTACCTTTATAAACTTTAACATCTCTGTCAAATAATCATTATACAGTTTTTGGGCCAAGTTGCTTACCTTTTGACACTTAAACAAGTATAGTGTTGACACTTTAACAAGTATAGTGTGTATACTTTAGCAGCATAGTCAGTAGATTTCACATTTGCTCAGAGATTATCTTATTACATAATTTACATGTTGAAGATCAAGTTCAGGGTTAACCCTTTACCTGAAATAAGCCAGTGTTAATCATGCCTTCAATACATAAGATAAGTCAATAATACTTATGAAAGTCTACATGTTAAATACATATATACAAAAGTACATATTGACTGTACATTGTACATTGGTTTTTGTTAAGGTTGGTCCGTCTGAACAATTTTTGAGTAGTTTGTAGATAACATATCAGGAAGTGCAACCTTTATGTTAAAGATTTTTACAAGATGAATTTATAAAATAATCAGTTGAATTAAGAAATCCAAAGACTAACTATAGATATAATGAATGGCATTAGAGTAAGAGAGCGATTGAATATGTAACTATGAACTTTATGATCCCTATTAGATTATTGATTTTCTTATCCTACCTTAATCTTAAGTGTAAAAGTCCAAAATCAGTTACATTGAAGTTCAAAAATCTGTTTGATTCTTGGAACTTAAGTTTAATAAATGTTATTACAAAATTTTAATCGGTATTCAGCAGATCATGATGTCAGTGATATATGATGAGGTAAGGAATATGACTTTTATCTTTAATAAATTAAAGGATATGGTTTTTATCTTTAAAATATTTCACTAATTATAATTCATCTGCTTAATGTAGTCTTAATGTATTGAAAAGTAAAATCTCTCAAATGACACACAACTCTCAAATGACACACAACTCTCAAATGACACACAACTCTCAAATGACACACAACTCTCAAATGACACACAACTCTGTTATAAGAACAGCTTCAAGAATCAAGAACAGTATTTAGAAGTGCCAAAGGTGTTCTACATTAACTGGAATTTCTGTAAATATACAAATTCCTAGTTATTATGTTAATGATAATGGCAGGGGTCTAGACAGCTTTCAATTGGTGGGGGGGGGGGTGCAATCGCCAAAAACTTTGGTTTTCAGTCAGGGGTGGTGGTGGTGCGATTGTGGCATAAACAAGCCAAAAAATAAGATTTACTTTGAATTCAACAAAAGTTAATTCAAAATTTAGCTAGAGGCTTCAAATAAAATTAAAGCTCTTTTCTTCTTCTTTCTCATGGTTTTATTTTTATTGGTTATGAGGGGTCAGGGTTCTCACCAGGAAATTTTTAGACCCCAGTTTTTTCTCGGTATCGCGACTGCACCTCCCCCTTGTGAGATCAGAGCTATTCTATTAGTATACTTTTCAAAATACAAGTACTACTAAAGATTATCTTACTATTATAATCACAATATACATTACTAAAAGGTTTCTGACTTCCTATTCCTTGTTTGTATCCAGTTTTATGCATTTTCTCAAGAGTTTACTACAAATAAAAGGTAAAATTAGACTCTGGAAAAACACTTTAGACTCCGGAAAAGTTATTAGACTCTGGAGCAAGAGGGTCTAAAGACATTAGACTCTGGAGAATCTACGGAGTCTAAAAGGCTAGTGAGAACCCTGTAAAGGTATGTAAATACAAGTCTGAAATATTCAGTTCATCTGAGTGTTATTTGAATTTTATCATTTGTAAATAAAGTGACACAGATTAGAAAAAAGAGAATAGCCTATATGAGAATAAAAAATACACAAGCTGCTTTATGCATTCAAGGGGACACTTAAAAAATCAATTTAATCAATATAATCAAAATATTTCTTTATTTTGACAATGTATTTGATAATAATGTGTGACTAGCCAGATGAAAAATATTAAACATTTCATTCTCATTGTGTGGACTACCTTAAATGACATTATCTTGTAAAGATAGGAAAAACTTCCTTAATAACTAGCATTTAACTTTGTAAAAGTATAATTTTGTGTAGCAACAAAGAAAGGTTGTCAATTTAAAGGATTTGCATCTGGAAAATAATCAGCAACTTGATAGCATTTTGATAGGCATTGCAATGCTCGTGTGATATTTCATGTATATTCATATTTTGGATAACATAACTGAATTGTAAATTGTAATGCAAACTGGCTATTTAAACTTCAAAGGAATGAGAAGAGGATTTGGTTTATCATAGGGACTTTAAGGTGAGATTTTTATCATTATCTTAGTTATCAGTCAATATTATTATTCACCTTCAGTGATCTCCATGGGGAGGGGGGGGGGTTGCGATGGGTGCGATTGCCCCCCCCCCCCCCCCCTCCTTGACAATTGCAATTGTGGTGTTTTCCAAATAGGGTTAAAAATCTTGATTGAGAAAAAAATTGGCCAAAATATTTTGACATACCCGAAAATTGCTCTCGTACATGTACAAGAAAATGTTCATGTTAGCTATGTATTTTTAGGTTAAATAAGTTAAGGTTAAAAGCAAATATTTAGGCACAGAGCCATTACTTTGGATTTTGAAGAGATATGAATTTCATATACTGTGAAAGCTGTATATCTGAACACCTCTCAACGGGAACACTTTTCTCTTATTTGATCTATTTAACTTTGAGGTTAAGTCATTGATGATCATGGGCTTTCAAGAGACTGTTGAAAGCCCATGATTTCATTAAAAGAGAAGGAAATACCCATATCTTCCTGTAAAGAAGAACCTCTAGGTTCAAGCTTACATGCCTATAGAAGATTCCTTTTTGAATTCTTGGTTACCAGTGTTTAGATGAAATTATCATGAATCTATAGAATTCAAAGGAACCTATCACCCTGTACTCTAGATTCAAGTTAAAATGCCAATAGAAGGTTCATTTTTTAATTCTTGGTTACCAGTGTTTAGATAAAATTATCATGAATCTATAGAATTCAAAGGAACCTATCACCCTGTACTCTAGATTCAAGTTAAAATGCCAATAGAAGATTCATTTTTTAATTCTTGGTTACCAGTGTTTAGATAAAATTATCATGAATCTATAGAATTCAAAGGAACCTATCACCCTGTACTCTAGATTCAAGTTAAAATGCCAATAGAAAGTTCATTTTTTAATTCTTAGCTATTTCTCTCTAAAATTTGAATGAAGTGTCTGATTTTCTTTTATTTCTATACAATTTAGAGTGTTGACTACATGCCTGTTTTATTTATTTCTTGCTAATTCCACTCTTTTTCATTGTAATTTACATTTTAAAACATGACCATGAGACATTTTTTCACATGAATCTATGTGATAATATAACATCCAAGTGGCTTATAACTATGACAACAGTAACACATGGCTTTGTTTGTATTCAGATCCAGGCCAGTAAGAGCCCAAATGAAAATGCCTCATGGTCATGTTTTAAAATGTAAATTACAGTGAAAAAGAGTGGAATTAGCAAGAAATAAACCAAACAGGCATGTAGAACAAATTCTGAATTGTATAGAAATGTAAACAAATCAAACAGTTCATTCAAATTTTAGAGAGAAATAGCGAGAAATAGTGAAGACAAGGGGGACGTTTTACACTCAGGTGAGAACATGCTCCAATCAGCTGATCGGAAATGCAACAGCGTAACAGACCTTGAAAGTATAAAAAATCGATAACAAATATAAACAAAATTGATAATGAATATAAACTTATATTTTGTATCTTTTGATTATAAGATTGAATTCATTGATTTTCTCACTTTTTACTATTTTTCTCCTATCTGAACATTAGAATTGATTGAAGTGACTCATACTAAAGAATGGCACACATCTATGCCACATCTTTGCAAGGAATGGCTTAATAGTTTAATCATGATCTATAAATGAGTCATGGCTGAAGATTTTTGCATAGTTCTAGGATTCTTGGATCGTTGTCAAAGAATAATACGCTGCGTGCAAACATAAAAGAAAGAAATGACAATTTAATAATGATACCCAGACCACCTTTGC